GCCTGAAACGCTGTTTTTTTCACCTCCGTGCCCAAACGTCTTTGTTTGGGCTTCCGAAAGCGGATTATGTCAGGAAACAGTGGTTGCAATTTATTTTTGAACTCTGTTCCTGAGCATTATAACCCCAATTTGCTATTGTGTGCTGCGCATTTTACTGAGGACAGCTTCCACAACATGAGGGAGTACAGTGCCGGATTCGCCAAAAAGCTTTTGTTGAAAGACGGAGTAAGGGGCGTGGCACTACTGAAACACCGTCTAAGCTGTTCGCCAATCACGACTCACTGGGACAGCTAACCAATCACAACACATTTTGTTTTTCGGAAGGCGGACCTTCATCAAAGCCGGAACTAATCGAGCCGTTTGTGCCAGGCTGGGAAGAAAGCTATTTTAATAATGTAAATTATGTGAAAAATAATGTTTTTTTCCAACCACCAAGCATGAGAGCATGTTCTAGTACACCCCCAACACAAAATCAAGACTTTGTAAAAGAGCATAATAGGGAGTATTTGACAAAATAGCAGTATAACAACAAACCGTTCAAGAGAAAAATTACACCCAAAAACCACTGAAATTCATCCCTACAGACCAACACAAAGAAAAGCAGCATGGCTGTGTGTGATGCTTCCTGCTAATGTGGCCTTCCCAGATATGTTTGTGCGTGTTGGTGTGTGTTCTGCTGTCTTTTAGGGGTTAAGTCAGTATAGGTCGCCAAGCCAGGGCAAACAGACAGGAAACAGAGCAGAAGGACATGCTGGACTTCCTGTCTGTGCAGGAACACAATGAGATGATTCTCAAAGCACACTGCAGCAACGCTCCATGCCAAAGCCTGCTGAGACACACTCCATCTAATCGCCTGTGTTTGTTTTTGTTTACATAAGATTACTTGTGCCTGAAAGATGATGAAATATGAGCCAGAAAGCAATGAACTTAGAAATCATCGTCTATATGTTATAAGATCATACAGTACTGTTCAAAAGTTCGGTGTCTATAAGATTGGAAAATGTTTTTGAAAAAAGTCTCTTCTGCTCACCAAGGCCGCATTTTTTAAAATAAAAAATCCAGTAAAAACAGTAATATTATGAAATATTTTTACAATTTAAAATTACTGTAATCTATTGTAATATATTTTAAAATGTAATTTATTCCTGTGATGCAAAGCTGAATTTTCAGCATCATTACTCCAGTCTTCAGTGTCACATGATCCTTCCGAAATCATTCTGATATGCTGATTTGCTGCTCCACATCATTTCTGATTATTATCAATGTTGAAAACAGTTGTGATGCTGAATACTTTTGTGGAAACCGTGTTAAAAAAATTCTGAATTCTTTGATGAATAGAAAGTTCAAAAGAACAGCATTTAATTGAAATTGAAATTTTGTAGCATTATAAAACTCTTCACTGTCAATTTTGATCAAATCATGCATCCATGCTGAATAAACAAATTAATTTCTTTCAAAAAAAGTGTTGGCCCCAAGTATCTTTTCATAATGATGTTTATTTTTACTGAAAAACATGACAAAATACTGATTAGGCCAATCATTTGTTTTTATTTTTGTTTTCAGTGTTCTTACAGCAAGTTATAATATTTGCCTTTATCTAATATTTAAATATTTAATATTTTCACACACACACACACACATACACATACACATATTACACATACACATACACACACACAAAGGTGTTTAAAAAAGGTGAAATATTATTAAAATTAAAATTGTTTTCTATTGTAATATGTTTTAAAACGTAATTTATTCCTGTGATGCAAAGCTTCATTTTCAGCATCGTTACTCAAATCTTCAGGGTCACATGATCCTTTCTATAATCATTCTATGATGCTGATTTGGTGAAGAAACTTTTCTTATTACTATCAATGTTAAAAAACAGTTGTGCTGATTCATATGTTTGTAAAAACGGCGATACGCTTTTTTCAGGATTCTTTGATGAATAGAAAGTTCAAAATAACATTTATTTAAAATAGAAATCTTTTGTAACATTATAAATATCGTTACTGTCACTTTTGACCAATGGTTGTTTGCTGAATAAAAATATAAAAATTCTTTAAAAAATGACTGACACTAAAATACATATGTGAAACTTGTGGTATGACAATAAATGAGTGAACCTGGTCTCTTTATTAAAAAAAAGTCCCATACTCGGAATTTGTGCTCTGCATTTATCCCATCCAAGTGCACACACACTCGGAGCAGTGTGGCATCCAGGGAGCAGTTAGGGGTTCGGTGCCTTTGCTCAAGGGTCTCACCTCAGTTGTGGTATTGAGGGTGGAAGAGAGTGCTGGTCATTCACTCCCCCTACCTACAATCACTGGTGGTACCGAGACTCAAACTAGTGGCCTTTGGGTTACAAGTATCATTAGGCCACGACTGCCCCCAGGTATTAGGTAACAAATTAACCACATTGAACGTTTCCTCATCTTGCAGTGTCACAAGGTGGTTAACCATCAAACTTCTTTGTCTAATTTGTCTTTTTCTGGCCTTGCAGGAAAAGCTTTCATCTCAAGCAAAGGGAAGATGCAGAAGAAGCGATTTGCTTCAATCATCAGGGGTTCACAGGAAGCACAGCCTTCATCTGAGAAATGATTTCCCTTGTACTTTTCAGAAACAACCCATGTCTGACCCACCTACGTGAGTACGCCAACACTTTGAAGTGATGTTACCAACGACATATTCAGAAACACATCATTAAAAAAAAAAAATACAACTTTAAACAACAGAAGAAAGCTATAAGTCAAAATGAGGTTCAGGTTCATATTGATATCACACATCGTACAGCTGTAAACACCTGGTGTTTGCGGTGCTTACATATTGAGACGAGACGACAGGTATTATTACAGAAGCAAAAAATAAAAATTGAACAGGTCAGAACAGCCACATCTGTTGTTATGATGAAGAGAAATCATACACATTTACATTCATAGACCTGAGCACAAACCGACTCCTACACAATTTCACTTTATTATTTCACAGCTGAAACAATCAAAGGCAGCCAGGCATGCAGCTCTCCTTTTAAATTTACATTTATGTTCTCCACTGACAGTTTCTCGACTCTATATGAATATATGATGTTTATTCTGGCTCTCTCTCTCTCTCTCTCGCTCTGGAAGCAGGTCTAGTCATTGCTTAACCATTAAATGGCTCCGTCCAGCCCTTTGTATGTTACTCTCTGACCGCTGAATTCAGCAGCATATGAGATAAAGTTGCTCATCCAGATAGAGAGAGAGATGCTGACTGGAGTTCTTCTTCTGATATTGCCGCCCCTGGGAGCACAGGATCCTTGTAAAGGTAAAACATCCCAAGCTTTCCCATGCAGGATCTTGTGCGAACTGGTGTCTGTTTGAGTGAAATTGTTTTTCTCTGAGGGTTGGGCAGTTTTGTTCTAAGTTTAGACTAGTTTCAGTCATTTTTAAATCTTACACATGGTTTTTACGGTGGAAAGAAAACCTGGCCTTCGAGCCATCTGAGAGCCATCTAGTAGTGTTAAAGATGGATGAATATGCTAAAAAATGTGTTCAATCATTTTCAGATAATAATGTTCTTTCTTTTTCACTTCAGTTGATAAAATGAATGGATTTCACAAAACATTTGATGTTCAGAACAGATTCTAGGTAATTTTTCAGCTCCAAATCAATAAAAAAAAAAAAAATTCTAGAAAATACCAAAAAAAATTTTTTTATGACAATTACGAGCACAAATCTCCCAATTATCATTTAAAAACTCTGTTTATTGTTACTTTATTGGAAAATAACCTCATTCTCACTATTGTATTATATATATATATATATATATATATATATAAATATAATTTACTAACCATTTTAATGAAGAGAAATGTGTCATTTAATCAGTGTAATTTTAGTATCACTGATATACTATTATAGTTTTTTTATGAATATTTTGAATTAGATTATTTTCTGTTTTCACTTTAATATTAGTTAGTTTTAGTAATTTTGCTGTTTGTTTTTCATTTTTATTAGTTTTAATTTGTTTAAATGTCTGTACAGTTTTATCAATTTTTATTTAAGCATTTTATTTGAATACTTTTAGTACTTATGTTTCAAGTAAAGATTTTTTTTTTTTTTTTTTTTTTTTACCCTTGCATTTTTAATGAAAAAATTTATTTATTTGAATACTTTTAGTACTTATGTTTCAAGTAAAAATTTTTTTTTTTTTTTTTTTAGTTTAACCCTGCATATTTAATGCAAAAATCTTAATGGCCCTAAAATAGGCTTCACTGTCTTGCAGCTTTTTAGATATTTGTCTGCCAGGGAAAGTCAATTCACAATAGCCAGATTACATTTAAAGGAAAGGAGAAAGTGAAAATGTTCAGAGGGAGTGTGAAATTACAGTGAACTGAAACTTCAAGAGAGTTTAAATAAGGACAAAATCATCGCTGAAGCGTCTAAACATCCTAAACTGGATTCTGCCTCTTTGTTGTCTGACCAAAGAGACAGAATCAGTTTCTTGTTTGGCATCTTATCTTCTCTCATTCTGTTCAGTATCTTGAGAAATCACTGAGAAATAAAGTGACACATCGATTCCCTAATGAGAATCTTTTTCGAGGACGGTAAATAAGGACACACTCCGCAAAAGCCTTATCACCCCACAAAGAACAGGAAGTAACGGATCTACACAACAACCGCGAGCAATGCTTTCTGTGAATAAACAAACTCTCTTTCACTCTCTATAGAGAGTAAAGATGGACTTAAAGTCAGACTCAGCATTAAAACGGCCCTCGGAGATGATGCCGTAGGTTTTGGTTTACTTCTCTTTTTATTTGGTTTGATGTCCATATTGATCATTTTTTTCAGCCATATTGTGCAACTAAAATAATTCAACTTTTTTTCTCTCTCTGTATCTCAGTATGAGTGGAATGAGAGCGAGATGTTTCTCTTCAAATCTACTCTGGCGTATGCGATGAGGAAACAAACTAATCAAGACACCTATACAACGCTTTCCACCCACGAGCAGGTGACACACTTAACAAAAGATAATCAACAGCCAGTCTGCTCAGTCCAAGTCTGTTTTTATGATGACCACTTTAATTGTGATTGAAAACGTGAGCAGAATGATTTGCCCACAGCTGTTGAGTAAGAGCTGATGGCTTTCAGAGTCAAATCTGTTTGTTCTTCATGCGTGGGTCAGGTTTTGTCATAGCTGTCTGGATAAAATGTTCTCACAAGGCTAGTAAACCAGTCAGTGGTTGCAACAGAATGTGAAACACTGGGGAGCTGAAATGCAACATGTGTTTTTTAGCAACAGACAGCCATTCATATGCTTCCTCAATGATTGCTTCATTAAATATTCATGTGCTTCTACAGCCGTAGATACTTTCAAGTGCTGGGTTTCGTTTCTCAGTTTTAGTACCTGAGGGAAACAGGTGGTATGTTTCAGAAACCTCCAGACAAGTAAAGTGAATTATTTGGCTACATTTCTAGATGGAAAAGCAGTTATTTAAAACTGGCCTGCTTGTTGCATGCTGTATTCAAATGAGAACATAAACCTAAACTTACCCAAGGTTTTCAATTATACAATCTCATAACATGACTATGGGTAAAATAAGTGAAACATGAAACCAGAGAAGCCAAGGTTATATTATGCTACATTATACTGCTTTGCATTGCATTACTTTGCATTGAATTGTTTTGTGTTACATTACATTGCATGAAGTTAAATTACATGACAGGGAGGTTAACAATTTCAGATAAATCAAAATGATATTGTGTTATATTGCTTAGCATTGCTCCACTTTGCGTTCTTTGCATTGCTCTGCTTAGCATTGCTTTGTTGCGGCATTGCTTTGGGTTAGATTATCTTTCCTTACGTTAACTTACCCAACAAACAAAAATATTCTAAGAACAGTTTGCTAACGTTCCCATTAAGTTATGCCAACTTTATTTCTGAATGTTCAAGACATACAGTTTTTAAAATGTTTAAAAATGTTTTTTTTCCCACTTCATAATTTTGAAACATATGGTTACTTTTGAATTTTATCTTAACATTCTAAAACAAGTAGAAACATTAAAAAATGTTAGATGAACGTTCACCTAAAACGTTTCAGAAGAAGATAAAGAAAGCCAGGATTATTACATTATGGCCCGGTTTCACAGACAGGGTTTAGACTAAGCCAGGATTAGGCCATAGTTAATTTACGGCATTTAAGTAATTTTTATAAACGTGCTTAGAAAAAATTATTACTGGTGTGCTTTTTGAGACAAAACAAAGTCACTGATATATTTTAAGATCAGTCAGTACAAGTTTCTTTCAGTTGATACAGCTCAGACTTACATTTTAGTCTAGGACTAGGCTTAAGCCTTGTCTGTGAAAGCGGGGGTATATTGCTTTGAATTCCACTCCATTACATGACAGAGACATTCATCATTTCAGATAAAGCAAGGTTATATTAAGTTATATCAGTTGCATTGGATGCTTTGCGTTTGTCGTTTCATTGCAACTTTGAGTTACATTGCTTTGCATTATATTTCTTACATTTCATTGTATTACATTATATTACATGCCAGAAAGGTACTGTAAACAATTTTAGATAAACCAAAATTATTTTGTTATATTGCTATGTGTAGCACTGTTTCACTTTGCATTTGTGTTGCTTTCTATTGTTTTATGTTGCAGCATTGCTTTGTGTTAACCTACATTGCATTACATTATAATTATAATTCAGAGAAAGCAAGATTATATTGCGCTATATTGTTTTGCTTTGCATAGCATTGTTTTGTGTTGCACTGCTTTGCGTTACATCGCATAACATTACAGAGATGATCATTTCAGATAAAACAAGATTCCCCTTCAGGAACTCGAGCTGCGTCGAAATCACTTTGGGAACGCCCCTGCGTGACCGCGTTCTGAAGCACAAATCAGTCCAATGGAGTAGCGAGACGTCACGAGCGGGGTGACGTAAGCACCAGAAAGTATAAAAGCGCATCCGGCAGAGCCCAAACCAGCTTCTGCTCTTCAGTAGCGCTCTGTGTATGTGTCCGTCTATTTACTGTTGTCTGTCCACACAAGCATATATAAAAACAATCATGAAAAATTCAATGGCGAGCGAACGGCATTACAAACGCTGTGTTCCTCCCTGCCCACGATATTTGGCGGCGGGGGATACACACGATTTGTGTGTCGTTTGTTGGGGAGCGGAGCATGCATGGTCAGCTTTCGAGGAGCTGATTGCTCTCACTGCGTATGCTCTGCTCTCGCCTGGCTGTGTTTGATGAGAGTGGCCAGGCTGTTGCCGAGGCACGGCGTAGACTGTTGTCGTGGGGATCGCGGGTGGATTTAGCGGAGGGATCCGAGA